ATTACAGTATTTGTGAAAGTATTTTCCAATGTGTTTTGTGTGTGTGTGTGTGTGTGTCTACAAACATACACACATAATTATATACAATACAGTTAACCCTCACTTTACGCGGTTAATGTAACCCGGAGGGTACCGCGGAAAGTGAAGAACGCGTAAAGTGAATAACATAACATATGGGATTAATTGAAATGGAGTCCGGGCCGATCCCCAAACTCCACTTTTTGACGACACACAACTATGTTGTAGTAAAAATTTTATCTTAACTTTATGATGGTATGAAAAAACAAGTAATATAGAAGAGGTTAGGTTAGGAAAGATAAAGGTTAACATAGGAAAAATAAAGGTAAGGTTAGAAAACTAAAAATTAGGTGTAACACTTACGGTAGTAGAAGAGATGGGTCGGCATACGGGGATGGAGGCTGGTTCCGAGGCAGAGGGCAGATTACTGGCCCTCAGGTGAATCACCATTACTAGGTGAATCACCATCACTGTCACTTACAGTTGTCAGGGCTTCCCTGACAAATCCCTCAAAGTCACCTTCACTGTCACTATCACTGGCTTGGGCTGGCTGTGGTGGGTTGCGGGCGAAGAAATCTGTTATGCTTTGCTGACGGCTGGCGTTGATGTTGTCGTGATACACCTTGATGTACGGCTCCATAGCCTGCACCAGCCGGGTATGGAAGACTTCATAGCGGTCATCGTCATTGTCGCGGGAAAGGAAGGACTTCATCTTCTCTGCACACTCCATGGCACCCTTAATATCACTATGACTTAAATTGTGTTCTTCGGAGACTGACGCACCTTCTTCCTCCTCTTCACTGACGTGTTCTTCTTCCAACATCTCGTCGGCAGTCACTTCAGGATCTCTGATCACATCCAGGATGTCGTCGTTGGTGGTCTCGGAGAAGTCTGGAACTGTAACAGTCTGCGCCGCTTCTCTGGCAAGGTCCACTGCTACTGCAACATTCTGAACCTCACCAGTCACAGATTGACTCCTCCTCTCACCTGGTATTCCATGCAACACATGTCTCCATGCGTGACGAATTGTAGCAATAGACAGCTGATCCCATGACTCCACCAAGAAGTCCACAGCTTTCTTGATGTTAAATACTCTCCAGAATTGTTTGAAGAGTATTTTTTGCTGTTCTAACTGTTGATCCTCATCTTCTTCACTCTTGCTATCGGTGGTGGTGTCACTCAGGTTACGCAACTCTTCCCTGGTGTTGGTGTAGTCGTTCAGGAGCTGGAATTTTTTTGTTGAGAATGCAGCTTTCACATTGCAAATCAACTCCTGGTCCATGGGCTGGATTAAAGACGTAGTGTTGGGAGGAAGGAAGACCACTTTTACGTTGGGGTGACGATCTAACAGTAGGGGCGAGTGTCCTGGTGCGTTGTCCAGCAGCAACAAAATATTAAATGGGACATTCTGTCGCTCACAGAATTTCTTTACATCGGGAACAAAACAGTCATCAAACCAGGAGAGGGACAGTGTAGAGAACATCCATGCCTTACGTGCTGTCAGCCAGTGGACATTTAGCTTGGTCATGTCCATGCTCTTGTAGGCGTGCGGCTTGCGGGCTGTGTGGATCACCGATAACTTGAGCTTACAGGTACCGGAGGCATTGGTGGTAAACAGGACGGTGATGCGTTCCTTCTGCATTTTCCGGCCCCGAATCCTGCTGGCATTCTTCACAACGAAGGACTTGGAAGGTAGTTTTTTCCAGAAAAGACCAGATTCGTCCATGTTAAACACCTGGTCGTCACTGTACTGTCCTTCCTCCATAATCTCACGTAAAAACGGAGGAAATTCCCGAGCCGCAGCACGATCAGCACTAGCTTCTTCACCACCAATGTTTATATTGGTGATCTTGTTCCGGATCTTAAACCTCTGTAACCACCCAGAGGAAGCATTAAAGGGTTTGGGCTCTGAAGTTCCCATCTTTCGTGCCACTGCCATGTACAGTTCACGTGCGTAGTCCTTAACAGAGCGCGTGTCGACCGCCATGTTCCGTCGCGCCTGACGCACCAAGTACCTCAAAAGTAATTTTTCTGTCTTGAGAAGCACCTGGTTGTGAAAATACTTGATCATAGAAGCACCTGTAGACTTTGTGATCTTCATGTGCTCCTTTATCTTGGCTGAATCCTTCTTTATAGTCCGGATCGTAGATTCGTTCACGCCATGCTGGCGCGCCAAATCAACCTGCCTTGTTCCTTTCTCCAACTCTTGGATGATGCTATACTTCACCTCGTAGCTTAAGGAACGTCGTGTCTTCTTTGGTTTAGTGCCGCTGGGTCCAGGTAAGGAAAGGTTTCTCTCTGGGGGTGGTGGTCCGGCGGAAGCCATTTTACGGAACAATGGATGCGCGTTTACACGGAGTGGCCTTGAGGGATGAAACTGCCGCGGCTAGGTCAAGCGTCGTCTTTCCTCCCTCCCTCCCTCCCCCGGGTGGACACGTCATAATACTTTAAGCCAATTACAGCTAGCAGCAGAGGGGGGTAGGGATGCATGGCCAATCACAGGTCTGATACGTCATATGACGTCAGTGATAACGCAACAAAGACACACACTGCGCAACCTTACCGCGCCGCTTGCCCAAGTGGAGGGAGGAGGAGGGAGAGGCAGGCAGGCAGGCGGGCAGGTGGCGGGTGGGGCGAATCTAAAAATAGCGTCGCGCCGGACACTCTCCGCGTAATGGGGTTCACGTACCGCGTAATGTGAGCACGTGAGGTTCTGGCAAGGCACCGCGTTAACGTGGAAACGCGGAATGCGGGACCGCGTAAAGTGAGGGTTAACTGTACAGGTAAAAGAAATAATTGTCCTAAGGGCAAACACATAAAGGGAATGCAGGATACATTTCTTTGTAACAAGTAAAAATGTACCCCCCCTCCCAATCAGCAAATGTTATTCAAGGATTTAGCGATTCGCAGTCATTTTGAGAACCTAACCCCCGCGAATTTGGAGGGCCTACTGTACTGTACCAGAACCCAATCAACCAAGAATACAGTGTTAGAGCAGTGTTAAGACATAAAAAGTGATTACAGTTACATATACAGTACTGTACATTCAGCAGAGTGGACAGTGTATGCCAACTGTAGAGGTCTATGTATAGTATACAGTGTGGGTACAATACCTGGTACAGGACAAAGGCAGGCCATCCTGTATCATCATATCACCATTTGGCTAGCCTGCATCACAATCTCAAGACAACAGCATCTGCTGGTGAGTACAGTAGTATTGTACAGTATTTTTTTACAATATATTATACATGTACAGAAGTGTTTGCATAAATAAATACAACTGTGTCTTTCTGTGCAAGATGCATAGTTTAGACTCTTGATAAACTTTCCCAGTACAGGGTGGAAAAGTCCAGTCTCCACTCTGACTGCTCCAAAATACATCCATTTGATGGTCTGTATCATATAGATATTTTTTTTAATATACACCATATTCATTTGAACAAACTTTTAGATAATCTAGTCAGGATTATTTTGGTAAAAGAAAAAAAAGGGGTTCTAATTTAATTAGAACTAATTTTACAGACTCCAATATAAATATTTCTTACATTTTTTAATAAAAGAATAGAGTCCCCATCATTATATCATGTCCAAATATTTTGTTTAAGGATCTTTTATTTTAATAATCTTGTAGAGAACTTATTCAAGATCATTATGGTACCTGTACCGAATTTATCTCTGAACACAATTAGAACAGATGCTGTGAATAAAGGTTTACAGGTGTATATGATTTTCGCTAGCCATAAATACTAAATTTTCATTTGTGACTGCGCCCTAAATATAATGGTACAGTCTTTGTCCGTGCACCCAAAAATATTCCGGGGATGTGTGATAGTGTGTGTCCATACAAGATGCACTGTTTATAATCTTGGAAATCTCCCCAGTACAGTATACAGTACCCGGAAATTTGTTTCAATAACCAGAAATCTCTCATTTTGGAAGAGTTTTGCACCAATTATTCCAGCTAACAGGGATACTATTGTTCAGTATTTAGCCTTTATATTAAGGAACACCAAAACATAATTTATGTCTAATACAGTAGGTAGTTATTTTTAGCCAATATCTATTTTATGGAATATAGATATCAAGTTAATCAATTTACTTTAACACAAAAGAAAATGACTTACAGTATTATTAACACTATTAAAGTACAGTATTAGAATACTGTATCCCCATTCAGTGTGGCAGGGAAAGTTGTTAATATATTTATCAAGTCTTGTGTCAAAGGGTATGTGATTATTTTATTTTAATTTTTTTTTTTACCACTTAACCAGTGTTAGTATAGAAGGTAACCAGAGTATTGCAAATCTGTGATGTTTGGGAAGGCCACACTGGATAACACCCTTCTCATGTGTCTGGGCCAAGCAGGACTCAAACCCTTGATATATTGGTGTAAGATCAGATACTGTACTGTACTGTTCTTACAACAAGATTACATCTTTCCATTATAAAATGAGAATCTACACATCTCTTATGGGATAAAAAAAATGTACCAGGGTACGTACATTTATTTCCTAGTGAAACAATTCTTGCTTAAACAAATCAGAAAAATATGAAAAAAAGAGAGATTATTTTCCTAAATTATTGGAAATAAAAATTGCAGTAGCACAAAGCCTGAATGATTGTCACAAAATTTTTCAAATAAAATTGCAAATAACAGATTCCCTCAAAAAATTCACAAGTAGCAACTCTTGGTGTCAGTATAATAAACTTACTAGTGCAAAATATCAAGTCCCATGGAATTTAGGGATTATAATTTTTTTCATATACGTACAGGGGGTCCCCGACTTATGAATGCCTTCTGATATGAACGGAGTTAAACTTGAAATTTACAGTATTTTATTTACCTGATGACTTATTTTTTACTTTCATTTAATGTACAGTATTTTATCATTCTATTTCTTCTTATCTCTCAAATTAAGTGATTTTAGATGTATATAAGGGCTTAGGCTATGATATAATGGGATTTTAAACATAGTTCTGTAAGTACGGTATGCACATAGCATGTGTTCCAACTTACGTACAAATCCGACTTAAAAACTTCCTCAGGAACGGAACCCATTCATAACCAATAGACCCCTTGTAATAATACTGCCTGCATGGAGTCACTTGTGAGTGAGTGAAGTTAGGTGTGTTTGTGTTTAATGTTTTTAATAACTCGTTACAGTATAGGAATGTGGCTGTAAATTTTTTAATAAATAGGATTTCCCTTTTCAAGTATGGGGTAATGCTATCCAGTTAGATTAGTATTGGGTGCTGAAATTAAGAGAAAACTGCACTGCCTTGGGTACTTAACATTTCAAGGCAAAATAATAAAGGAAGGTTACATAAAAATTAAAATGGATTTTTTGTGTTGTGTATGGTAAACTTTCTCCATTGAACCCGTGGATATATTTAGCCCTATACCTAAAAAAAAAAAAAAAAAACCTTGTGCTACAGGTACCATGAAATTTTCAGCTCAAACTACAGATTATTCTGAGGTGGATATTTTATTCTTCTATACCTGTCATAATTCCCTCACAATGAAAAAATGAAAACTTCATATTGTCAAAACAACAAAGGAACTTAAATTATACATTAAGATTGTATGAAGGCAATACCTTTTCTACTCTTATAAACTAAGTAATCAAATTTACTGCCTATTCTTCATATCTGATTTCTTCAGATGTCTGCTTTGATTATAAAAAGAAGGGTATGCTAACAAGTACGGTGATTTTTACACCCATTTTATGCAGTCCAGTGGAATAAGAGGCATCAGTTAAACCTCTTCCCTTAAATCTCCTAAAGGTGAAGAGTTGGGTGGCTGGATACCTTCTTCTGATAGTCCATCAAAATAACATGACACAGAATTGACAGCATAATTAGCTGGAAATTCATCCTGAGGTAACTGGCCTGGAGTAACGTTACCTCTATTTGAATTGTTACAATGGTGATTGTGTGGATCAATGTCTGCAGGATCTACAATTTCACTGTTTACTAGCTTAGATGGTTCATCTGGAATGTTCTCATCCTGCTGCTTAATTTCTACCATAACTCTCTGCAAGTCATGATCAGAAGATGGCTGAGGGTCCTGTGACTCTTGGGGCTTGGGATTCTGGTTGACTGGGCAGTTGGAGGTCATCAACAATTGTGGTTCCTGGAGTGCAGACCCCTGTGTTTCTTGGGGTATGTTTTGAAGTTCTTCCTGTGGTATACATGACTTGGATACTTGGATAAAACGTGCATGGATTTCATTATAAGTTGAGAGTTTTTCTGTACCATAATCTTGGGCTTGATGGCAGACAGCCAATGTCTCTCTCATGTGAGGATCATGCAGTGTTGCCAATTCTAAAGTAAGGATGGCACAATTAACTGGAAGAGACAGGCTTCTTTTAATACTTTTTTGTGCAAATTAAACTCGTATATAATGCTATAATGTACAGTACTGTACTGTAATATTATGAATACAGTACATACACCATAAACTGGCTAACACTGTATGTCTCGCTGCATGGTGTAAGTGTTTTTACATCATCATATCATATAAAGACTTAAACTGTATAAATTTATATTGTATTCTGATGTTAAAGTGCAATTTATGAGTATTGTACTTGTACTGATATAAAACAGGTATTAAGAATATATAATGATATAATATAAATAAAGAGCTACAAAAAATTCCTCAAAGGCCAATTCCATTACTTTTCAATGTTACTGTTAGTAGTTTCCATAAAATGGTTAAAAACTTTGAGAAAAAATCATCATCATCGTTTTGGCACAAGTATCTGTTTAAGATATAAACATCTAATTAGCCTTTCCACTGCCCAGAGTGCTATCAGCAGAGAAAGTCTTCAAAAACTCAGTCTGTACAGTACTGTAACAGTAATCAGTAAGGGAGAAAAATTCTTTCAGTATAGTTACTGGTCGTTTTTTTTTTTTCTCAACAACTGTAAATAATAAAGTAAAAATTAAAGTGGGGTTGACTTTTGGAATGTACCTATGATAAGCTGAATGATAACTGACCAATAACCGCACCTATGACCTGTACAGATGCCGTAGCTACTTCACTCCTGAGCAGTTGTTTCAAGTATATAAGGGATTCATTCATCCAAACTTGGAGTACTGCTCTCATATCTGGGGTGGTTCTTCTTCTGCCCAACTGTTAGATATGGTGGATTCAAAGGCATTTCGTCTTATTAACTCCTTTAGTTGACAATCTTTCTTCCCTTTCTCTTCGCCGCAATGTTGCTTCACTCTCTCTCTTTTACAGTTACTTTAACAGACAATGTTCAGTGGATTTGGCATCTTGTGTACTGCCGGCAAGGCCGTGGGCTCGTAACACATCTTACCCACGGTGCCCACCATTTCTCTGAGGATGTCGGTCACACCAGAATAACCCGTTATAGTACATCCTTCTTTCCTCACACAGCCAAACTGTGGAATGATCTGTTTTCTTCTGTGTTTCCACACTCATACAATCTGTCTCACTTTAAAAAGCTGGTTTTCCAGCATCTTTGTGGTGTAGATTAATACGTATAACCTTTTCCTTTTCTATTTTTAATTTCTTTTTCATATTTTTTCGTCCCCTAGGCTCTGATGTGGGTCAATGACCTAGGCCCGGGTGGGCTATTCCCCCCTCAAAAAAAAAAAAAAAAAAAAAAAAAACAGGCAGGCAGTTGCCAAGACAGCTTTCCCTTGATTGGGAAGTACAGTACAGTATGTATACTGTATATGAAAAAATTATGAATTAAGTTACTTTTATTATACATACTACAAGCCTTTTCCCTGTACAGTAATGATATACCATGGATAGACCGGTGCTAATCAGCCAAAGACTTGTTCCACCATCGGCAACTGCACCCAATAGTGTACTGTACTCATTTACTGCTGAGTGCACAAAGGTAGGTGTACAAGGAGGTACCTAATCCTTCCCTCTGGTCAGTTTTGAAACCACAACTTTTGTTTGTGAGGTGAATACTCTACTAACTGAACTATGGAGCTACCTGTACTAATAATAGTTTATTAACAATATTTGGCATTCTTAATTTGGGTAAGTGTACAATACAATATTATAAGGTATTTATTTACTTTTACACCCGTCTCACGTTTGATAAAAAACTTACCATATTTTGATAGTCCAGACAATTCTAAGACACTTTTCTTCTATAACGATATCGTCGCAAATTACTCTGGGGGCGAAGCACCCAACTAGGAAAGTTAGGTAAGGTTTATCAAGTTTGTTTGCAAACCTATTTGCGACGATATCGTAATAGAAGAAAGGTGTCTTAGAATTGTCTGGACCATCAAAATATGGTAAGTTTTTTATCGAACGTGAGATGGGTGTGAAAGTAAATATTTACCTATTATAATTACAGGTGCTCCTTTACCTACGAACGAGTTACGTTCCTGAGGCTTGTTTGTAAGTCCAACTTTACTCTTGTAGATACCAAACATATTGTAAAAGATTATGGATATTTAGTACAGCTATACCCTTTAATACAGCCTTTAAACCTGGTTCACTCTTCTCTTAGGTAATGTTTGTTATATCTGGAATTTTCTTCAAAATAATCCAGTCTCATCCACATTAAACACCTGTTCTAGCAGGTCACCCCCCTCAATGATGATGCTTGTATCTCTGAATGTTTGTAAGTTGAACATTCTTAAGTAGAGGAGCACCTTACCAGTAAATGTATCGGTAACTAACGAACGAAATTTGAAATTCTAATCCAGTACAGTACATTACATGAATGATTGTAACTACTAATTGAGGTGTGCAGTCATTTTTCCTCTGGTGACACCATGGCTACTTAACCAAATACCTAGTGTTTTATGGGGGCTTATATTTTTCAATTAAATTTAGGAAAATTGGTAATTTCATAATTTTTATACATGAAATTCAGTTACCAATACAGTACCAAGATTGGATTTTTTTTTTGGGGGGGGGGGGGCTGAAGAAGGCCTTTAAATAAATTCCCTTTAACAAGGCACTGACACTCCTACGTTGTACATAGTAGTGTCTCATCAGGGAAGAAGGGGCCCAGCCAAGTGCACTAGTACACATTTTAACCTATTTTGGTTGTTTGTCCTTTCATTCTGAATTTCAAAAAGCATGCCCTTATACCTTTTTTCCTTCACTTGTTTTTCCATCTTTCCTATTCCAATCCATTTGACCTCTTATTTTACAGAAAACTAATTTGTCTCCCTCCTTCCTCATCCATTCTCTTTAAACATTATTTTACAGTGGTTCTGACCTCTCTGTTGGCTGAGTTTGCGTTCAGCATCTTTAAACCGTCTGCTGATGTTGTCGAGGAGGTGAATAGCTGTCTTGATCGAGATAGGTTCCATGCTGGTGCTAGCCTGCTCTCCACCTTCGGCCCAAGTTATTCCTCTTCACCTGTAGTTATCGTAATTTGCAAAATATACAATAATTAGTCCAAAATTTAAACATGAGAAACACCAAACCCATTCAACTAATTAAAGGTAAATAAAGAAAACATTTTATAGGCACCAACAGTCGAGTAGAAATACCCAAATAACAACTTGGGAATATTAAGTAAATAAGTGTAAATCTGTATCAACCTGTATACAGTACAGTACAATTACTGTATACAGTAACTAAAACTGTAAATGAATTTAAAGTTTTGGAATTGCTGTAATCTACACTCTATAATTTAAGTATGTTTCAGGCCAGTTTAATTACAGTACTGTGTTGAACAATAGTTATTCCCAAGATGCGGGTACGGTGACGGTCGTATTTTTTTAATGACAGTCCGGGAAAGCTAACATGTTAGCTATTCCGTGCATCTACAAAAAAACGCCTTAAGAAAAAAATACGACGGTTTTCCAAAAAATATTGCAATTTTCTCGGAAAGTAATCATTTGCGAAAGAAATGATACAGAAGAAACGAGTCTTAGAATTGCCTAAACTACTGATTCCAAAATATAAAATCCTAAAATTCGCTACATGACCAAACAATAATAATTCCATGGTTAGTTTCTGGCAAGATTGAGATTACTGACGCTTCATTTCCTTGGGAAATTAGTGGTTTTCAAGGAAATGACGATTTTACCGTTTCTCAGTAACGTAAAATTTTTCGGAAACAAACCAAAATACACACCCCAAAAATTTTTCATTAAAAAAAAACACGAACGTCATCACCAAACCAACAAATACCGGTAATGTTGGTATTTTTGCGTTTAAACATTCCACATTCCTACCACTAATCTATTATCATATTCTAATAAAACGTCTAATTTTAAGATCATTTTCATCTATTACATTACCGTCGCAAATGTATAATAACGGAGATAGCATATCCAAAATTTTCTCTATTATCTAACAGGTCGTTTGACCTGTGCCCGGTTGGGCTAATTCCCGTAAAAAAAAAAAAACAATCCCTCATTATCACTTACCTCACCTCTCACACTGCGTCTCCTTGAGTAATCATCACGCGCATGTGTTCCCGTACACGTCACGCAACCAATCAAAAGCGTTTTATTTTTGCAACCAATTAAAATGATTTGTGGTTCAATTCGCTGTATTTTTGGCCCAATCAAAATCTATTTTTATTTTGGGTCTCATATTTCGAAATTCAACTTCATTTCTGATCATGGAAGTCTGTGATGGGTGTCACTTCAATTATATGGAGCTGATTGAGAGTTTTGGGGAAAAATCGAAGAAACTAGAGCATTTTCTCGATCGCATGGTGTTCTTCCAACCTCAGTAAAGTGTCTTAAGAGCAAGACTGAATGAAGTATCGCAAGGAACAACATGTGTGGCGTTGGGTAAAAACCACAGAATCCAACGACAAACAAGAACCAGCCCAATAAGGTAAGAAATAGGTGATTCCATCATATGGTGAGTCAGTTAGGTTAGGTTTGGTTTTTGTTTTTCTAGTGTTTTGGTGTATTTTTTATTCGCTTAGCCATTAATTTTTGTCGAAAAACGTCCCACGAAAAAAAATCGATAAAAAAACCCGGTCAATTTCGGACGGAAATGAAGGTCCTAATCGTTATAAACACACACAAATACACTAGAAAATTATATTTTTTACTTTCTAACAGAGTGAGAGGTGGAAGTGCAAATTTACCGTAATGTTTCCGTTGCAGACAAATCTGGACACTTTCTACATTCACTAAACACACTAGCGAGGCCTAACCTGCCACAGGGATCCTTTAACTGACTGGGGTCACGGAAGTTCGGAACGGGAAACCATGCTTTCTTGTTTCCCTTAAAAATGTTTTAATATTAATTCTTTTGTCAAGATGGGAAGCGGTAATTATTTCAGCGATAAAGATATATGAATAACGAGTTTCTATAATACTTAGCTTAAGTTATTAGTATATAGAATATACGTAGTTTAATTTAATCATGAATTTTATGCTCGGCTGTGACTGAGTTGTGTTTTGTCCGGTCAACGAGTCGTGACAACTGTTGTAACGTCATGGTAAACCTATTTAGTGGCGTACTACTGTGGACTGGCTGGATAATATATCACATGTAGCAGCATAGTTCTTCGAGGAATTGGTCAGTGACTTCAAACTCTTTAAAATAATATTTTGCTTTGTTTACAACGTAATAGCTGTTAACCACTAAGTTAGTCTTACACCAACCGTTTAACGTATAAGTAAAAGGGTGAAATATTGCTCGCTAGAGTGAAGTAGCCCCATGTAAGTCAAATTGCGTCAACATTTGCGCTTTGGATTATTGGATAACCTGATTTTCACTACTCGGTATTACGAGTGTTCATGTAAGCTGTATTTAGGCTTATTTTACCTAATCGTCTTCCATTGTGCAGTGCCATGGAATGGTTTGTTTCCTTTGGGAAACTACATTAATAGAGACCGATTTGAAAAGGACCTGGCTGTGTATACTGACAATGAATTGAAGTTCTCGGGCCATTGTGAGAAGAAGGTGAATCAAGCAACTAAATTATTAGGTCTTAAAAGAAGGTCGTTCAGATATCTAGACGGCCAGCCCCTCGTACGTCTGGTTTCCATGATATTCTAGAGACTGACAGTTGACTGAAAATGTCCAAAGGAGGGCCACCAGACTGGTGCCTGCACTACGGCATCTCAGTTATTCAGAGAGATAGAGCACCTGCAACAGCTTAGCTCTTTTACCAAAGTACTGTAGGCTCCAAATTAGGACCGATTCAGCAGCAACTTATGCAACCACCATCTTATGTTTCCTTGACCGTTTTCCCTTTGCATTACGCATGATCATATACAAAACCAGGATAATAGCAAATCATCCTGTTCATATAAATGTAGCTTCGATGAACTGGGAGCCATTTTTCTTGTCCTGTTCCCTCTAAGATAGAATATGCAACTGCAAATGGAAACGGGTGTCCATTGTCCAAGGCATTTTAATTTAATTCAAACGCTTAATGCAAACGCATATATGGAATCGTAGCTTTAGTCAAAACTTTGAAATTATGAAATCGCTAACCAACTGTAAAGTTTTAATGTATAACCTGTGTATTTTTTTTTTTAGTTTTTGTTTGGACTTTCATTTTTTGGTATCATTGTAATAGTATATAGTAATTGCAATACTGTACAGTAGTTTAACTTGCACAGTACTCTAGTTTTAGTACTGTCGTTATTCACTACCCAAGAAGGGAAAGTCCTTTTTGTCTTTTAATTTTAATTATTGTGGACTAGGATTTATACCATTGGATTTTTTACGTATTATCTAGTTTTCATTTCACCATGGCAGTTTAATTACTTTTGACATGTGATCTTAGCATTTAGTACATATTTATCGGATTTAAAATAAGTTTTATGCAAGAAATACTTATATAATTGAATCAAATCGTCAGCTACACACTCGCCATGAGTTGTTCTGTGGATTAACCACTAGTGTTTTATTTTGTTGAATTGTATCAGTTTAGGATTTATATCTTTTGAATTTAAATTGGCATTATGTTCGAACTTTATAATTTATGTACTTAAACTTGTAACATATTTTATTCATTCTCAGCACGTCCGAAACGTTAAGAATTAATGATAGTGTTTCGTATTATCACCGGTCGCAAGTGTGGAATGTGTGCTATTCCGAAATAACATCTCGTTGGATATTCATCAGTGTCCAGTCTTGATTTGGAAAATATGGTAAGGTCAGGTTAAGCTAAGGTTTTTGTCGAACGTTTACGGTAATAGATATCGTGTACTGTATTGAGTTCGTGATTATCAGTTTGAGAATTTGATTAAGTTGGCTATGCTAATTCTAGAAATTTGATTAAGTACAGCCGGTCAAGGGTAAGCTTTACAGTACATAGGTGTCCAGTTGCAGTCCCGGAAGATTATTTTCTGGCTATATTTTAGGCATTTAGGGCATAAAATCACTTTCTGTTTGGTTTCACGGAGAATAAAAAATTAACGAATATGAATACTGTATATCTGATAAGAATGGTTGACTCAATGCGGTAATGGTGGAGCAGACGGTTAGCACCAGGAGTTTGTGGATTTTGTTCATATTTTCCACAGTTCTTTTGATGATACTAACTAATACAATCGACATGACATGAAGAATGGAAATTGCGGGGTAAAAATACATTCTTTGTACATAAAAAATAAAATAAAAATAATTATTTACAGTAAATAGTGCGCCGAAAATTCTGCTGTGGCGTCGCCTTTTGTCGTCTACTCCTAAACTAATATATTCTGAATCCGGTTTCACTTAGCTTGTACATCAGTAAATAGACGACGGAGCCTCTCATATGTGTTCTATCATAGGCTTCAATTTTCAATTTTTTTTTAACCATCATAGGCTTGATTATTTTTTTTTCTTATAGGCTTCATTATTCAGATTCGTGAGTTTATTGTCTGCAAACACCCATTGTTTTTATCTTTAGGCGCAATAAGTTCTTAAACCTTTTTATGTATAAATGATGAGAAACACGTTAGAATCGAATCCCATATTGTGGGTTTTGATACATTTCCGATTTTTTATTGTTCTTCCTCAAGGAGGACTGGGAGAGAAAAACCTTAGTTTTTCAAAGACGTTCTTATCGCGTAGTGTTCGGTATCGTATCACACGTTACCTGTGCTTGTGGAGGATAAGAACGTCTTCAAGAGATCATCTGTCAACATGGACAAGTTGGCAGGACGTTCAAGTGTTCAAAATGCGGCAGAGAACTGACAAGGAGATATATGTTTCAGTGCAACAATCAATCGTACTCTTAGGTCCACAAAAAAACAAAAAACAACGTAAACTTACACAATGCCGCTTCAAGATACAGTAGTTGTTTTCATTGATACCAGATATCAAAGTACTGTAAGTTCTTTCTGCTTAATATGCCGGGTGCTGCACGGTTAGGAAGTAAGGTAAATAGGTTAGTTTGGCTAGGTCAGGTCCTGTTAGGTTTTGTGCATTGTTGCTTCCATTTTCGT